GGAAGGCCACAGGCCCTGGTGCTTCCCTGCCCCTCAGCAGCCTCAGGAGTGTGTGGGGACAGCCTGGAGGGAGAGGTCTGCAGCTCCTCCCTCCCCTGCCGTGCAGCCGTGCAGCCACAGGGGCAAGGAGGCAGCTTGCGGGCAGGGTGGGTGCTGCTGGCAGCCACCGTGGCTGGGTGCCTGCATGCTGACCTGGCCTCCCACCCGCAGGTGGCGTACTACTCGGAAATGCACAAGATCTTCGGGGACCTGACAAGGCAGCTGGACCAGCCAGGCCACTCGGATGAGCAGCGGGAGCAGGAGAACGAGGCCCGGCTGAGCGAGCTCAGAGCCCTGTCCATCGTGGCTGACGACTGAGTGCCATCACTTGCAACTCCTGGGACACTCGCCCTCGTCCTCCTCGGCAGCCGGGAGAAGGGCGGTGGCCCGTAGGCTGGGAGAAGTGGCCCCTGCCCAGTCTCTGCAGCTCCAAGGAGCCCCAAGCAGGCTGCCACCCCTACCCACGTCCCTAGACACAGGTAAGCAGCCTTAGGAAACCCAGGGCCTTGTGTTTCCAGAACCGTCCAAAGCACATCCTGCACCAAGGCAGGGCAGCTGCCACCCTCCCCGCCGGCTCAGCTTGAGGGTCCCGGCCCTGCTTGCCAGTGGGGACCACGTCTACCTCCAAAGACCCACTCTGGGAGGCGCTGGCCCCTCGCTGCCTTCTTACTTTAAGACTTGCTTTGGGGAGGGCCAGGTGCCCACACCTGGCTGGTCCCTCACCCAGATGCTCAACTCAAGGGCTGGTCCAAGGCAGGGACCAGCCCGCCTCGCCCGCTCCCTGGATAACTGCCCAATGCCCCAGGCCGCACGTCAGCCCATGGACCTCAGGCAGCAACAGTGGCTGTTATGTCCTGCCCGAATATCTGGAATTTTATTTTTTCAAGTAAAGTTTTCAGTAAAAGATGCTGTTTGTATTGTTAACCTAAGGCCTGGGAAGCCCCCCTGCCCGGGGCCCTCTGCTGGGCTGATAGGATCCTGCAGTGCTGCCTGTGTCCAGCAGGTGGCCATCTGCTCCCCTTGAGAGCAGAACCGGGGCCAGGGCAGGAGGGCGCTCTCCGGGCAGGGACTGTGGAGGGCAGGGACTGTGGACGTCACACTTGGTTTGTTTTTGACTTTGGTTTATTTAAAAAACAAAAAGCCAAAAAAAAAAAAAAAAACCCAACTTTATATACAAAGTCAAACAGAAACCACGGATTATGGAAAGAGGCGAGAATTACGGGTGAAAGGGAAGAGGCTGGGCCCGAGCCAATACCACATTCCCAACACAGGAGCGGGG